CTCTAGTAGATTTGGTGGAGCTTAACCATGCAATAACTAGACATGTTCAATGTTATTGCACACTTTTGCTGGTTTATGCTAGTTTTAGTAGAAATCGTATAGAGAAGTGGGGTAGGTTTTCTGTGCAATAACAACAAGCATGTTAAGCAGGTGTCAATGTTACAAGTCATTTATAGCACGCTTCATTCGTTACCAGGTTTAATGCCTCTGTTTAAACCTTTTAACTCATGAAAGCCATTCTATAAATATAACTTGTTATTGAGCTAGTATGTTCAAACTTGGTGTAGGTGTTTATTAGATGAATGATTTCGAGGATCGGCATTTTCCTCTAAGGCTAAACAAAGATAAACAATTTTATTGGTAGAGACTTTGCAACATAATAATTTTGATTCTAATTGAGTTAGATGATGAGAATTTTCCTCTTTGGCTTAGTAGACATAAACGATTAAATTGGTCAAGACTTCGGTACACAATAACTTTGATTTTTATTGAGGTAGAATGTTCAAACATGCTGTAAATGTTTATTAGGTGAATGCTTTGATCAAGTTTGGTGATGAACATTTTCTGCCAAGACTAAGCACAGATGAGCAATTTTATCAGTCAGTGCCTTGGGAGACACTACATTTCATCTCAATGAGTGTTGAAACTTGGTGTATAGTTTCACTACATTGAAATGGTATAGATAAGCAGTTTGATCGCCCAATACTTTACAAAATGATAAAGTGTAATTACTAAATATATGTTACCTATTTATTTTGGGACTGAGGTGGGGGACCTCTGCCTCACTGTTGGCATGTTTTGGTTTTATTTTAGCTTCTTCAATTCTATATAAAACTTGTATTTTTAGATTGAACATTTTATGTATTATAAATTTGTGTACATAATAAGTGCATCAGGACCAAGTTACTGGGAAGTTAAAAATTTCTTATTTGTACAGAAAAAATCTTTATATTTTTAAAATGCAGACGTGCCTTTTAATTACATTCCATTGGAGACAATAGGATTAATGTCCTTGATTAATTATTCTCATTGAATACAACATACAATACATGATTTGCTTATTTATGAAAAGATGAACCTGGTTTGTTTTTACTTGGCTTTTTGTTGCAATTTTATATTAGTTTAAAAGCTTATGTTTCAATGTGAGAAAGGCATTCTTTTTAGTAAAATGAAACATTGCGGTACTCTTAAGGCATATGCTTATTAATACTGAATACATGTAATGTTATGAAATAGAACAATATGGCAATGTCTTACATAATTTTTGATCAATATCTCTGTGGTTACAGAGGGGCCAGTTACTGTTAAACATGAAGTTATTGTGTCTATATGGTAGATTATACATGTGTTATGAAATAAATGCTAATTGGCATAGCGTTTAAAGTCATCAGGGTTTTGACTACATTCAGCACTCATATATAATGAAGATAATCGAGGGTTCTGGTCTTTCACAATCTTGAAGTAATTTTCATACATCAATAATTATTGTTTACAGTAACACAATGTAATACCGGTATTAAATTTAGTATACCAAAGGTGACTATTTTATATATTTTGAATCGAACTATTTATGACCACTTTATTAAGTGCATATGTTTGTTCTTTAGACGTCGTTGATATATTTGTATTGATCAGGGTTCACATTATTATTAGAATTATTATTTAGTTATATGAATCTAATGCAAAAATGTTCACTTTATAGATATCATGAGCTTGGCTACAATTTGTAATGTATTATTTATTTAAAAGCTTTTGCTTAGTTATTTCATTTTCAACAGTATTGAAATCAGTATTCTTATCAAGTTACAAATTTCTGCTAGTGTTGCCTTTAATATTAGATTTCATATATCAAGCTGATGTTTCTGTGTTTGGTGAGAATGGGATTTTGTATGAAAGTTGACAAAAGCTATTTGTTATATGCTCACATTTAATGTGGATGTATATTTTTGTCACCTGAATCTGGCAGTCCGTCCAATTGTTCGGTTGGTTATCTTGAAATTCAAAATTTTTAATTTTAAAAAATTTAAGCCCTATTTACTTTCATAATATGGAAAAACCCTATTTAATTTCATAAATTATGGACTATAAATTTGGAATACATTTAAGCTTGTGAAATCGATACAGGACAAAGTTCTTAATGGAATTTTTAAAACTTGGTGGTATTTTTATTTGCCGATTCACTAAGCAGTATTTTATTTTGTGAAATAAAAATATTTTATTCACAGTAGTGACAATTTACTGACAAAGCTTGATCAACTGATTCTCTATGCTTAAAAAAGCTCTTGGTATAAGCGAGGACTAGCATTTTCGTACCATTTATTAGGGAATTATTGAAATAATTAGGACTTTGGCTATAAATAATACCATGTTCAACAACTTTTTCAGTAAATAAACTACTGTTAATATGCCCATAAAAATTTATTTGCCGCCATTGTCTACAACTATAAAATATGTATATAAGCTTTATGCTTTATTTGTCTATATCTAGCTTTGAAAAAAATCCTTTTAGGATACTACTATTAAAATCTTTAGGGTTTTACATAGGCACAGCCAGTTGCCTAATACCATTAAAAAATCAAAAAATCAATACTGAGAAAAATATTGTATAAAAATCTGCCATAACTTTCATTTTGATAGGCCATCATTTAATAAAGTCTTAAGTCAGTCAAATATATATATATATATATATATGGTGTCTTTTAAAACTTTCTTGATAAAAAAAAGTACCATTCTTTTATACTGTTGAAAATTCATGTAATTATAAAAATATGACACAATTGCCCATTATGCGTAACCATCACAAAAAATATCATCGACAACAAAAAGATCTATTTTTATAGTTGTTAATATAGCTCTTTTATAGCCCTGATTTCAATATTCCATGGGCTTTAGTTTCTGGATGTTCTATTTCAAATAAACTCAATAAAATGCACACACACCCAAGAATATTTTAAATAGGAAATGACTAATATAAAAGAGGTACAATGGATATGTTTAATATATTTATTATTGTTATGCTGATGATTAGAATGTGTATGAAAGTTTGAAGACATAAGTGCAATTTTTCTGACTTCTTTTATTATATGATATTGTTATTCTTTTTCCCTGTAAATTAACTTGATTAAGTATCTTTGTTTTCTACTTCATCTTTTTCTATTCTCCTCTTAATTGTTAGATTTGTCATTGTGAATATTTATCATTCATCATTATCTGGCTCATTATTAGCATTCTATTGTATTAATTGGGGTCATGTTTTTCTGGTTTTAGATGTCCTTCTATTGATTATTAGTGAATTATGCCATTTTTTCTGCGACAACCTTTCATTCCACTATATATCATATTTGATCAATATCTAATATTTCACCATGTTGTGCTAGAAATGATTCATTCATATCATATTTTATATTGTTTAACTTTTGAATACATCTCTCAGTCACAATGATTGAAATACGTTTGACATGTATTGAATATTGAATGATTAGAAAATATGTGGTTATTCCCCCTCCTCCCCCCCCCCCCCAAATATCAAATCCCTTCATGTCTTGTTGTTAAAGATCCTGATTTTAAGATGTTACCCTTGCCTTTCTGAATTTTACAAAAGTGCATATAAGACTTAAAGCACACTTACTGTTCAGAATTAAGTACATTCTTGGATCCCGGTATCATTTTCAAATCAGAACTTATATTTTAAGTTTTGTGAAGGCATTTGGTGTGTAGTATATGCTTATTATATGTATGAAGTACAAGTATGTATATGTTATGTTTTTTTATCACACACATCAAGCGCTTTTGTTTTTTTCTTAACACCAGCATTTCGTGTTATAGTGTACATTTTGTTTGTTGGATGGGATTACTGATGTTACTGTCTGTGCTCTTCTATGTAAGCATGGAATCCAAATTAAAATATAATATAAAGAAAACAATTGCTTTTTTTTTTTTTTTAAATTTCATACAAGTAATCATATAGAGCCATTCCATTTCAAATCACCCAAAAAGAGGAAAAGTAAACCATATCCCCTTTGATATTGGTATAATTTGGTTCAAGGGTATTATATGACTATATATGCTTACTTTGGTTGAAATAGCTGATATTTCAAATTTTAGCTTGATCGCACAATTTGGGTGGTGCACAATTTGGATGTGCCCGCCAATATTCAAATAATCATAGCTAGGTAACCTATCTGGTCAAAATGGGTAATACTGGAATAGCAATTCCACAAGGATTCCAAATCTGCTATTATTTTTTGAAGAGTAGTCTATAGCTAACCATGATTCATCAGTCTGAGAATGGGGTTTAACATCTACTCCACACAAATTAGGTCATTTTGGCACTGACATGGTAGCTACGATCAGTGACAGACCTTATGATTATGATCTTCAAGCTCACACTTGGACCATTTGCCCCCCCCTCCCCCCTTACAGATACAACCCATGTGGGACATGTGATCCTACTTCTAGTTACATACAAGCAGGGAATCAAAACCACACCACTGGACTCAATGACAGACCTTATGATGGAACACGGACATGTTAACCCATTCGTTCCTCCTTATAATACGGAATGACCCAATAATGAAGTGCATATCTGTTTGAAACCCATTATTCACAAAAACCAACTGACTACCACCAGCCAGAATAATATAATTAGCAGTATGGTGAATACCCTAGTTTTGAGGGTGCATCATACAGGGGAAAGGTTAGCAATTTTCAACTCAACTGCTTGATAGATTTGGTAAGTGTTTAGCTTGGGTTGTGCTTATACAGCCCTTATCAAAAGCAGATGGTGCTCAGGCACCATGAAGGGAAATATTTTGAGAAATTAGAAAAATTATTAAACTTGGTCATCATTGTGAATTTTGTGACAGAGTTTCATGATAAGCATTTTCAGACTCCTGGGTTAAACTGGGTGAAAAGCAATTGATTGCTCTATAAAATGTTACAGAAAATAATGAGCCTCATCTATTTATTTTGGGATGGAGTCCAAAAAAAGAGAAAGAAAATTAAAATTATTTTTTTATTATCATTACAATAAATAATGAAGCAAAAAAAAAAGCAAGAAACAATACTGTAAAAATCAATCACAAATTTAACATATAAAAAGCAAAGAATATAAAAGTTTTATTTCTGACTAGATTCATTATTCAGTTTGGGTTGGATTATCAATTATGACAGAACCATGGAATAAACTGAATGATAAAAATTTCCACAACCTAGCGACAAAATTACATGTGTTCAATAATACACAAATTAGGGCAATATCATATCTTGCCCCAAGTTCACAAAGCATTCTCAGACTTAAGAATTTACTCAAAAGTGAATGCCTTATTTTAACTAAAATATAGCCCTTTATAAAACTTTTCTTTTAATGTATGAAATACATCAATAAGAAACCATGTGCAAAGTTTTGTGTTTCTGGTTCAAAGATATTTCTCATAAACAGTGATTGAAAGTTGAGTAAATTCTTAACTTAAACATGCATTATGCAAGAGCTAAATCTGATTATTGCAAGTCTTAATTTAGGCTTCAGATGTTATAGAAATTATAAATTAGATCTTTATTTAAACAACAAGACCAAAATCAACTCTGTAGACCCACGGATGGCTCGGCTACAGCTCGGATTTAAATAGGATTTCACTAATTGATTAAATCAAATAAGGGGTAACCTGATGAAAATACGTCAGTTAGATCGAGGCTAAATGATAGAGTGCACTTAGCGAGGCCGCTGTAAAGCATTTCCGTATGCCATCGAAAACTTTACTTGATAATCGAGATATGTAGGTGGAGTTAACACCTGTCAATCAAACGATCGGCGAAGGTGAAGACACATTTCGCTACCATTTCTAGGCAAATATTACAACGATGATAACTATGTTCAGAATAAAGTAATTTGACTGAATTTTTCAATATATTCTACTTTCATCATCTACTTTTGAACTGTTATAGCAAGAATGGCCAACTCTCTATAAAAATCTCCCATCTTTAAGTTTGAGAATGCTTTGTGAACTCAGGGCCTGTCTCCTGTCCACATTATTGGATGTACAGTGAATTAAGAGGGCTGGTATTTCTATAGTTGGTGGATAGATTCTGGAATCACTTCCAAATTAGGACTATAACAGACCAAACACTGCAATTGTTTTAAAAGTAGCACTGCAATTGTTTTAAAAGTTATCATATGAGTTAGTAACTACCATTAGTTACAAATCATGAAAATAAATATCAGTCATTCAGGATTACAAATTATGCAAGTTCAAGTGGTGTACAGTACAGCACAATAAATAGGTTATTTAGGGCAAGCGAATTAATATACTGATCACCTGAGTTGAGAACATCCTGACCTTGACCTTGTTCAAATAGGTATGGCCTCTATACTTACAAAATCACCATGGATCAATGTCCATATTGGAAAGCTTAAGGCATGTGTAAAACAAAGATTATTTGTATCTGTAGGGTGTGAATTTTTTGCCAACAAGAAATCAGACTGTAGGAAACAAACAGTCCTTGGCTTGAACAGACTCTAAATAATGTTTCGGTGAAGCATCATATTTAACATGGTCTTGCATAGGAAAAAACTTTATTTAAATGCAACCCTTCAGTTGTTATTAATAAATATATATTTCAACTCTTTCTAGTGTCAAGTGCATTAGGTTTTAAATTCAACAAGAACGTGAACAATTTTAACATAAAATGAAATATGAGAATTATGAAAAATATCCATGACAAGTATTTAAAAATTTGATCTGTCACATTGAAATATTTGATCTGAAGGCAAGCCATTATTAAAGGACATGGCCCTATCTGTTTCTATATTCTACCAGTGATAAATAATGATAACTGCTGCTAAATCAACTTCTAAAATATTCACGTCATCCATGTTAAATTGGTAAATTTTATACTTAATTCTGTTAGCAATATTTGAAAATAAATAATCAAGGCTATATTTATATGTGTCATTTGATTAAACGATTTTAATGTGTCCGTCATGACATGTGTTCACCAGACCTTTCAATATGGCACCCCCCCAGCTAATAAATAGTAAATATCGATGTCTGAGAGGATCAGTCAAATCTATTCATTTTGTGCTACAAGGAGATAAATAGTTAGAATTGTCCATTTACTCTCCCAAACCCATTCCTTAATTTATGATGTTCCTGTACAGGGGTGCCCAGGAATTTTTCAAAAGTTGATTTGTATAGCTGTTATTGTTATCAATGTCTATTGCTAGAATACAGAAATACAGTGGACCATTTCCTTTAATATGTTTATAATTTTTGGCAGAGGTAAAAGGAAGTAATCAGATAAGCAAATAAATAACAATATATCATGGCACTAACAGTATACTGTTAGTCTGCTACAACCAGCTGTAATAGTAATTAAGGCAGAATAGTATAGGCAACAATATATAGATAAAAAATAAAATTTCACACAAATATGGGACTTATGGTATTAACCTCATTATCAGTTATAAATAAATGTATGTACAGAGTAACCATTTTCATTTTAGAATAAAATAAAACAATTGCCAAGATTATTTTTTTAATATTGCTAAGAGAGCTAGAATATAATCAATCATCAATAATAATTAATTGGCTTATCTATATAATTATACTTTTCATGATGTTACATGTCTGTGATACCCTATTTAATAGCCTATTGTGGTATGTGGAAAAAATTATCGGATTGGTTTCTTTATTTCATAAAGAACAAAATATTTAGAAGAGTTTTAATGAAAGATATCACAATTCTAGAAAGACTGTTAAAATTAACACTGAAGTAAAACATTTTATATAAGACTTTATGAAGGTTTTATATATTTAAAAGGGTAAAGTATCCCCAAAAAACAAACTATCCTTCACTGGAAATAGTATAATATAGTGCTGGGTATATGATACATATAGCGATTCAGGTGCTACAATACGATTCGTATCACGATTCACAACCCGGTCAAGAAAATGAATAAATGAATAATTGATATTTTTAGCCAATAAAACTGTTTTATAACACGATACTGAATGGATCAAAACAATTTAAGAGTGTTTGGGTACCTATGGATAATGTGTCACGTGGATAATTAAGAGGGACAGGTTACTTACTGAATGGACAAAAGAAAACCATAAAAAAGTATCACAATACATTGATTCAGCGTCTAACGATTCAATTTGCAAATCCATTCAATGATATATCATGCCGGCAGCAGTATAATTAGAGATAAAATGGTGGTTACAGTTGAAAACTTATTTCTTCACAGCACCCCTCCCAAGGACATACTATATTAAAGATGCATTATGTACACTTTATAAGATTTAGACAAAGAGAGGGAGAGAAATGGGGTTTAACGTCCACTCGACACAAACTAGGTCATTTTGGGACTAACATATGGTTCAATTTTATTTCAATAATTCACTTGCGCGTAGTTTTTTTTAGCAGTGGGATGAAACCGGAGGACCCGGAGAATACCTATGAGGTTGGACTGGCGACCCTACTCCTTGTCACGTACAACCAGGAATCGAAACCACGCCAGTTGACTCAATGACAGACCGTGTGATACAGCGTGCACATGCTAACCTTAATCCAACCCCCGTGGTCACAGTTGAAAACTTATTTTTACACTGCACCCCTCCCAAGGACATACTACGGTATATTAAAGATGCATTATGTATACTTTATAAGATTTAGACAAAGAGCTGGCTATCTAAATAATCATTTATATAAGATCTGAAGCAAGAAAAAACAACTTGATTTAGATTTAGCTCTTACATAATGCATCTTTAATATTAGTACTAAATAAATTAGTATTGAATATATAAATGCATGAGGTGGCTGATTACACCCGATCCAAACCCTATCTTGTTTACTGAGCCATTAAACAACCTTAAATAAAAATTGAAGTTTTCCTTTTTTTTTACTGATTAATACAAAATACAACTATGCAGTGTAGATTTGGTTACCATTTCCTCTTTTATTCATCAGATGCCTATTGTACTAGGTTATTTCAAAATAAGCTCAAGATAAGATAAATATAGCTCCTAAAATTAAAACCTTATGTAGTATTAAAGTCTATCAAGCCAGACAGTCTACATATATATTTCAATAGTATTTACTATTTCACATTTAAAGATTTAAGGATAGAGGGGTGGGGGGGAGGGGTGGCCAAATAGTCTATGTGTAAGCTTGGATATCATAAGGTCTGATATTGACCTCTGGGTCTTCCCTTTTCCTCCCACTGCTAAGGACATTTACGGGCACCCTACCCACATAACTTTCGAGCAATCAAATTTTTCAGGTAGATAGGCAAAGCGAAAAAAACAAAATTAATATCTACTAGTCGGCAATATAAAGTGCCTGACATCCGATGACTTGTACATGATAATAAAACACAAATTTTACTTTTTTTTAATTGAACCAGGCAGATTTGTACTGAATTGACTATGGATTAATATATTTTGTCTAGAGACACTCTTCTTTGTGCAACATATTTGGGGCATTGATCATTATTTGATTAATCATTTTTTCAGGAATCGTAATTTCCTCAAATTGACTAATGAAATAAAATTTAAAACATTTAAAATCAATGTGATAAACCTCTCGAGTAGTCACTATGCGTTATGCGCAAGATTATTTTAGGCTCATCATTATTTGCTTCGCAGGCCATGTTTCTGTGGACACTTAATGAGAATTCTCTAACATTATTATTATTTGTTTCATTAATTCTTCAGAAAGCTAAGTTCAAGTCGGCAAAGATTTGGTTTTCGGTTGTAAAACCACATAAATAAGGCTATATTTGACAACTTTCAAGTTGCCATACTAACAGGAAAAAACATTTCTCGGGGAGGCCCATCTTATCCCCCAATGTAGCACTTTATGGCTTGGAGATATGGGGCGCCTTCTCAATCTTGTGGGTTTAAACCAGTTTCCTCCACACCGAAAGAACATCTGCACATACGCTAAATGTACTAGAATAAGACCTAATTTCTGTGATATCCTCGGTGAAAGCAGACGTTAAAAAAAAGAAAAGAGAGAGTAAATGTTTTCATTCTTAATGGAAATACAATATGATAGAGTATCTGGCTTTAATTTCGGCATGTTGGGGATTTAAGACAATGTTTAATGTGTTTTAGAATTTTATGGACCAGCCAATAAATTCTTAACATGAACAAGTTCTATTCAAAAACAAAGAGACTAATCTGCTAATCTAGATTATACTACCACACAGGTATGATGGAGTTACTACCACAGGTACTCGGTATGATGGAGTTGCATATTTTCCAGTATAGATCTCAAAAATTGTTATATTTATTTCAAGGTGATATGGATACGACTTTTATATATTTCCTAATCGTTTATTTCTTAAAAGGAGGGAGTGTAGATCCACTACCCGGGCATCTGTGATAAATACAGCTCCTGCACTACTTCAAAGATAATATAATCTCTTACTTCTACAATAAGGCAAGATAACATCTTCATATTATCAAGTCGTGAGCCACGAAAATTTTAACCCTTGAAATAATCTAGATTTCAAATAGTGTAGGCAACATCATGGCATCTTGGCTAGGATCATCATATATTAAAAGCCAAGAAGACAAATAGATAATAACCTATAATTAACTTTTAAAGTTATAAACATTAGAGTAAAGGCTATCATTTATATGAAAGACTTTGGCTTTTTACATAATAAACAGGATTCCTTTTCCTTGTTGGTAGTTTCAGCACAACCAATATTTAAGATAGGTTTAGAGGCAATGAAACATATATAACAGCAGCTAATATAAGTAGTAATCTGAACAGTTCATAAATTAAATGTTGTTGCATTGTGATCTTTTGCCTTTGGGTAAAGATGGGTTACCAGACAACAAACATATTATGCTGAGCCACCAGCATGAGCTAGGTCGTCTGGGATGTTCATAAAGGTTGTCATTAAATGAATCATTTACTAATACAGACAATTTGACTGGTCAATAGACCTACTCTGGAATGAATACAAATGGATTTTTCCAAGCAGAAAGTCCTGTGACGGAGTAAATCACTGTGGTTCACTTTTAAGTTTAGCCTACAGACTAACGTAAATTAGTTACTATGCCGACTAAACACTGTTTGTGGGGAACTTGCAAATATTGTCAAAATATTACAAAATAACTGATCCATATTCCAAGTAGATCAGGTGCTGAATTTTGCCGAGTGTCTTCAAGATTCAACAAAGTGAGCAAGTGCAATAACTCAAGGTGTAATTAACAGAAATTGTACTGATCAAAACAATAAATATAAATTGTTTAAGCAGCATTTAGTAACTGGATGAGAATAACACAATTATATGGAATGAAAAATACCTGAAGAATTTATTTCAGCGACGTTTCAACGCGGGTTCTCCTATCTTTATCAAGCAAAGAATACTCTTGTCGAAACGTCGCTGAAATAAATTCTTCAGGTATTTTTCATTCCATATAATTGTGTCATAATTTAATAAATATAAATGTTGAAAGATGGTATAGAATATAAAACATACAGTACAGACTTCACTATAATGCTTTTGGCATCTAGTTCGGCCCTCATATTTTATAACAAACAGTGCATAAGTGACTAGTGAATACAGAATGCAAGTTTGATACCACCTTAATGGTATAATATTGATGAAGCATGTAACATCGTTATTATATTTTATGACAGGAATGAATATCAACAAACCCCACAATCCGTTATGCAAACTGTTTTTAAAGGTAAACCCGATTCTGATCCGACACTTTCTATAGATCTAACAACATCCATACCAGTATATACTTGTCCTAATACAACATGTTTTCCATCTAACCTATAAACATAAACAATCTAATCTTAAAGAAACATTATCACATTAATGTAATTAACAGCTTATTATATATCATAATTATTATAGTCAACGATGGCAATTCTACATGTGTAAATTTGCCCACACAGCAGCTTTGATTCAAAAAATAGATTGTAGCCGCTTGTGTTCACAAGCTTTTGAGGAAAAAGGGGCATAATTCTGGGAAAAAAAGGGTCAGGAAGCTGAATATCGTAAGGGTTTATCCTCTCATGTCCTCAATGCTTTACACCAAATTTGAAGCAAATTTGTCACAAGGTTTTCAGAAAAGGGAGGGTTATTCCGGAACAGGTCACGGAATGATGAATATCGACAGGGTCCGTCCTCTTATGTTCATCACCAAATTTCTGACAAAGAGGGGTAACTTCAGAATGGAATGCTGATAATCTATAGAGTTTGTTCTCTCATGACCCCAATGCTCCCCCCTCAAATTTGGAAAAAAAATCTGTTAAAAACTACAGCCTCTATCACGTTCACAAGGTTTTCAGCAAAGGGGGTAACTATGGAACGTAAAGTCACGGGATGCTGAGTATCGATAGAATTTGTCCTCTCACGACTCCAATGAATCACACCAAATTTGAAAAAGATCCATCATCAAGCGGTTGCCATGATTGCAAGAAACACCTACATTTTGCAAGAGATGGACAACCTAAAAAAAAGAGATTTTTCGTACAATCAGGGGCCATAATCCAGGAATTCACAGTCCGATACGCGCAAGTATCGATAGGAACCCAGATCATTGGGACATAAACATATAGTTAAAGTTTCATCAAAGTCAGATAAAATTTTTGACCTCTAGAGGGTCCACAATCTTGGTATTACATACTTTTACACTAATTGTGTACTTTGTGAGCATTCATTTTGTTGGGCAGTTTTGGTTTGGCTTTCACAAAATTTGAACTCAACTGTCTATTGTGTAGCAGTGATATATGTAAACGTTTATTTAAATGGGATAAAAATTGTGACCTCAGCTAAAAATGCTATTTTTCGTACTATTAGGGTCTATAATCAAGGAAGTTACCGTCTGATATACACGAATACTGAAAGAAACTGCGGTCTTTGGGTTGTAAACATACATTTTAAGTTTCATCAAAATCGGATAAAAATTATGACCTCTTGAGTTTCCATAAGCTAAAAACAAGATTTTTCGTACAATCAGAGGCCATAATCCATGAAGTTACTGTTTTATATAAACCTATATTTCAAGTTTCGTCAAAATTGGATAAAAATTGTGACCTGTAGAGTGTTCACAAACAAAATGTCAACTGACGTCGGAACGGACTGGGCAACGAAAATATACGTCCACACGAAAACGTTGGCGTATCAAAATTGTAGCCTCTATCACGTTCACAAGTCAATTGATGACATTCTGACGGACTACCAGTGTGACAACTATATACGCCCAAACTACGTGCTTGTTTATAAAAATACACATCCAAAATTACTTTGAACATACCATGGTGTTTTAACTGTTGTTATAAAGAATTGAGAACCATTGGTATTTGGTCCCGCATTTGCCATAGATAATATACCTGAAATTAAGGCAAATCAATATCTATTATTGAAAGTACAAAACAAGTCAACAGTGAGGTTGATTAAATCAACCTGTCCATAATATCATACTTAATGTATTGGACGTTACATCTTTAATAAGCAACAACAACAACAAGCTGGTGCCAAATATTCAAAATTTTAACCATCTGACCCTAATCATTCCATCCTACAGCCAGGTAACACTCAGGATCATGGATATGTACAATACATTTCTAAAGTTTGCGGTTCAAACCGTCAAGATGAAATCCCATAAACCATACCTGGTTTTGAATGTTTTAAAGAAAGATTTTCATCTGGGAATCGAGGACCGTAAATACTTCTACCACCTGTTCCATTACCGTTCTCAAAATCTCCTCCCTGACACATAAAACCTGGTACAATACGGTGGAATATAGAATACTTGTAACCAAAACCCTTTTCACAGGTACACAAAGTCACAAAATTTTCTGAAATGAAAAAAGATAGGGATAGAAATGGGGTTTAATGTCCACTCGACACAAACTAGGTCATTTTGGGACTAACACATGGTTCTATTTTATATCAATAATTTGCTTGCGCGTAGGGTTTTTTAGCAGTAGGAGGAAACTGGAGAAATGAAAAAAAGAATTCTAGATCTATTGAAAGGAACTTGATGCCATAGTAGGAGGTCAATTCCATTTGGTTACAATCTATTCACACTTTATCACTGAAAGCCAGTGTTGAGATAAAGCAGTTTTGTGTTCTACTATCAACACTATTACACTAAGTCAAAATTGAACAAATAATTAGTAAATAGAGAGAGAGAGAGAGAGAGAGATGGGGTTTAACTCCAACACAAACTAGGTCAATTTGAGACTAACATGGTTCAATCTTATTTTGAATAATTCGCTTGTGGGAAGAAACTGGAGGGCCTGGAGAGAACCCACAAGGTGGGACAGGCGACCCTACTCCTTGTCACATACAAGCAGGGAATCAAAACCATGGCACTTGACTCAATGACAGACCTTAATTATGTTAACCCTCCCCCCCCCACCCGAAAATATAATTAATACCGGTAAATAAGATGACTTCCACTTAATCATTCAAAACAAAAATTTGACCTACAGCACATGCCCCATCACAAATCAACACTTTATTATTTTTTGAGGTTACCGCTAATACCTTTAGTTGTGGTGAAAATTTACACTTAAGAATCTATATAAATGTATAAACATACCCACAGTTTTTGGTACTGTATCTGAAAAGAGCTGCAAATACATGAAAGCAAATAATTTATTTAATGAATAGACAGATATGTAAACCTATATAGCTATGGTAAATTTGTGAACAAATGTAGGCTACAATTTAATTATTGTTGGGTAGCTCTATGGCTTGGCCTATAATTCTGAAAGAATTTAACCTACTGTCTCCACCAGATAGTCATCGAAATGAACTGAGTGAGTGAATCAAAGTCAATGAATATTCTTGCCACGTTGAACCTATACCCAAAAACTTCACATGGTTCCCGTTTTTTGTTTATAGTAGGTTTACAGCAGGATTGGTTTGGTAAGAAATCACTTGGACTCTATGACTGAGTGGAAATGTGGGATTAGAATTATTTTTAATTTTTAAATTATTAGGGGAGGGGGGCCTGGTCACCACCACAGATAATATCACAATATGATAATATGCCGCTTTTATGTCAATTGTTATTTTCTATTTAAAATCGTAAGGTTTTTTGTGTCACTCAGCTAACTCAGTTCTTTAAATACCTCGCTAACCTGGAGGTTGCGTGTTCGATCCCTACATTGGCCGAGAAAGTTCATCAGGATTTTCCAAAGTGGTTTCCCCTTGTCAGTGGTGCAGAACGAAGGGCCTGAAAAGGACAGCTGTCTAGTCATTTGGATGGGACAAAAAAACAAGATTCCCGTGTATAAATTGGCGTGCACATAAAAGATCACTTGGCAGTTGGAATTCGATATAAGAGTAGGCCATAGTGTTGCTGCTTCGGGCAAAACTTCCTTCATGGCACACTGTATGGCGTATGCCGTCTTCATTAGCCCAGTAGGTGCAGAACAGTAGGACGTTACACCCCATTTCATTTCATTTCTTTAAAGATACATTCCCGCGTACAAACTGGGTGATTTAATGGTATATATGGACTAAAAACATATTCAAACTAATTAATTTGTCATAATTTTGCTTCAATTCCTTCTCAAACATTGTATTTGTGAAGGAATGCCCTGCTATAAAAATTTGATCAAACCTGTTTACGTCACGTGACTTACCTCTCTTGGAAGTCAAAGGAGAATTCATTGCATACATAAGACGATGTTGTCTTTAATCGCTTACTATTTATTACAAATATCGAATCCTAATTAAATTCTTGGATTATCCACTACCCGCGTCTTTTTCCATCATTTTTATTTCAGAAAGTGTTGTACGTCTAACTCTTCATAAAGTTTATCAACTTGTACATCAAGCGCTCAATGTTCGTGTGTGACCTTTGACATCACAAAGGCAGAAATTCCTAATCATCGGGGTGTCTATTTAGGGGAACGCTTACATTTTTATCCTGTATACGCTCCATGAATGTTTATCGGGGAATCCAGTATTTTTCTTGTAAGATTGGATATCTCTACTTTCCATATATACCAAAATTGCCATACTTTTATTGGAAATAACCACCCGATAAATACTTTTCTGGGAACCCATCTTTAAATAGTCTTTTTCAACTAGACACTTTATATAGCATGTAGTCTTTACTTTCAATGTCATCTTCAGTATTTACTTAATTTGGAGTGAGTAGAAATCGGTAACTTAAATACTATCCTAACATCCTGTTTCACCTTGAGTCACTTTTTCCTAAATCTCCATTTTGGATGCATCAGTTTCTCTGTCTTTGTTAAAGCACCATATTCAGTAACTCAGGTAGGTTTATATTTGTTTAACGTGACTTTGGGGCCTAAAATAACCCACCTTGGAGCATGAACGTGCTTCGAAAATAAGAAAACCGTGCTTCGAAAATAAGAAAACCTTGCAAAAACCATGCTTAAAAAATAAGAAAACCTTGCAAAAACCGTGCTTAAAAAATAAGAAAACCTTGCAAAAACCATGCTTCAAAAATAAGAAAACCGTGCTTCGAAAATAAGAAAACCGTGCTTCGAAAATAAGAAAACCATATTTCGAAAATAAGAAAAACGTTAAGAAGCCTTCTGACCCCTAATGAGCGTTTCCTCTAGTGGTGGTCAGTTGCACTGTTCCGGAGGCCAAATAGAAATACTTCACCTATGTTTTTAGTCTCAACCTCCGGATTCTCTTCCTAAAGAGATTTAATTCTGATTTTTTTTGTTTTATTTTGGACCCTTGTTACTGATAGAATTTGAGTTTTGATGTTGATCTGATGATAGAATTTGAATTATAATTCAAATATTATCGTAACAAAAGTGGTGTGTTATCTGAGTTTTCATGCAAAAAAAATAGCTGCACATAGCCAAATAAACTCCTATGTAAACTGTATCAGAATAGTTCACAGATGCCGTTTTTCAAAGCTCAGAATTTTCTAAATTTTCGCGGGGAGACCCCCTGATGCTACGAGAATTTATCCTTTTTTAGGCCTGGCTTGACTTGACAATATCAAATTATATAAGACAATTTCTTTCTAATTTAAATACTGTTTTATTAATTACAAAAATGATATCATTTAGATATCATTTAGTGTTTCACATCTTTATTCTTCATATGGTTTTTGGGGGGTTGGATGGCTGAATGGTTAGCGTGCGTGCGCTGTATCATAAAGTCTGTCATTGAGTCGACTGGCGTGGTTTCGAATCCCCGGTTGTACGTGACAAGGAGTAGGGTCGCCTGTTCAACCTCGTGGGTTTTCTCCGGGTCCTCCGGTTTCCTCTCACTGCTAAAGACCCCTACGCGCAAGCAAATTATTGAAATAAAATTAAACCATGTTAGTCCCGAAATGACCTAGTTTGTGTTGAGTGGACGTTAAACCCCATTTCTCTCTCTCTCTCTCATATGGTTTTTTGACAATAAAAAGTTTCTCTATTTCTTCATTTCATATGAGCAGCTGTTTCAGGGTATGTTTCTAATCTATTTTATTATTAGGCCTATAAGTAATACGTGTATAATAGTGTTATCTGTAATGGGCAATATATCTCTATTATTTATGTATAATTAATTACTAGTCATTAGAAATGAAATGAAATGAGGTTTAATGTCCTACTATTCTGCTCCATTATAGAAAGCTACATGTTTTTCACTTAGTGTTTTTATTAACTCCCTTTTGTATATTATAAGCTATAAAATGAAATGAAATGGGGTTTAAAGCGATAATTTCATATTTTCTAAGAAAGTCAAAACATAATTATTTCTATGTATTTTGCTCAATAGGTTGTCAACTCACTATTATACGATCATAGGTATTATACTCCCACTTAAAAATCCTTTGACCCCGGAAATAATAACACAATTACCTCCCTTGTTTTTCTATTCCACCCATGGAATAGCTATCTTCAAATGTTTGAATTTGAAGTTGGAAATGATATTTTTGCCAATTTCTCAACTGGCAATAGTGAATTATAGGATTAATAGGGTTATTCTTTAACAAGGCAGGACTGTTTATAGATACCATCTATTTTAAGGCTTTATTTTAAAATTTTTTAAAAATATAACTTAACAATATGAAATTGCAACTTTAACGTCCTACTGTTCTGCTCCGAACTGGGCTAATGAAGACGGGCATACGCCATACAGTGTGCTAATAGAGAAATTTTGCCCGGACGGCGGCACTACGGCCTATACTCTTATATCGAATTCCAACTGTCAAGGGATCTTTTACGTGCACACCTCGGTTTTTCATCCCATCCGAACGACTAGACAGCTGTCCTTGTCAGGCTCTCCGTCTTGCATCACTGACAAGGGAGAACCACGCCGGAAAATCTGGATGAACTTTCTTTGCGTACCCGACCTCCAGGCTAGCGAGCCAGCGCCTTACCCACTTAGCCACCGTGATCCCCATTGACACAAAAACGCTCTACGTTTTTAAATTCAAAATAACATTTTGGTATAAAGAAAGTTATATATAATTCAAATAGCAATATTATTTTTTTATGAAATTTGGGTAGATTTGGGTGAATTTGGGTAAATCGTATCGTGCTGCCGCGCTACATACCTATATAAAAATATCAAACCAACTTACTTCAAATACTATCCTACCAGTGTAATTTTTTCCGATTTCAATATCAAAATAGCAGAATGAACTGGGCATAACTGTTTTACTGTAACAATTGGCCAATTGAAAAATATATCATCCATACGCTCGTATAATTTCAAACAAACGGAAAATACGTCATTGCAATCGTTATATTTCATCTTCGCATAATAGGATGGATATCAGTGTGTATTGTTTGACTGACGGCCTTCTAGAACAGAAGATGTAAATTCCCATTTTCCGATGATAAAGCCCTGAACAACCAGACTGTAAAAACCTATACTGTCATAGCCTTTATGCAATCATTCATGGCGTCATAGATCGTATAGTACAGTTCTATGATGGCATTACTGTTCATAGATCAGATATGTTACCGTTTATCAATTTATGGTATATTCGATATTCAATGAATGTGACGTATAAACATCGTGTCTATTACAGAGTACTGCACAATCTACCCAATAAAACTGGTTGTCGACCCAACAAAAAATAAGATATAGAGAACAGCCTGGAAACAATGTGAAAGTAAGATACAGAAAATTACAAATATAACAATCAAACTTTTCAGTTTCATGGAATGAACAATTAATATCGAGTATATTATATATCCAACATTTATATCGTAGTAATAGTTATAAATGTGATTATAGGTACGTATATAATGACCCTGCACATCAGTATATCTCGACGTTTTAGCTAGTAACTACGATGGTCAATATCAGAAATGAGGTTATATTGCAGTGCATTTAACAGCAAATAATAATAAAATTGAAAAGGGACTGGATCAGTAAAGTTTGAGGAGTTCCGTAATAAAAAAAAAGCATGATACCAGGACTGCACGTATTTAAGCCCACCCGTTATTTAGCTCATGGGCTTAATAACGGGCAAAAAAAAAACGTTTTTAAGCCTATGGGCGTAAATTAGATTATTGACTTAGAGTGGCCTCGTGTTCTGTTGATATGTTTGATGTGGTGCACATGCATTCTGTTTGCGTGGATAAGATAACATTTTTGAAAACTTGATGACGCCAAGTTAATTGTTAAAACCAAACTTGACAATATTCATTTTTTTTTTTTTTTTGAGATCATGAAAATGCTGTCTTTATTAATCTTTGAATATTCTACATGTTTTGATTGTTTTTGCTAGTTTTTCGTTTTTAAGCACTGGGCTTAAATTCGACTAAAATGTTACCTGATGAAAACAGGCAAAATCCGTATTTAAGCCCTGGGCTTAAATACGTGCAGTCCCAGTAGGCTATTAATGAAATGAAATGAAATGAGGTTTTACGTCCAGCTTTTCTGCACCGATTGGGTTAATGAAAACGGATCCCACACAATGTGTCATGTAGGAAAGTTTGCGTCCGGACAGCTCGATAGACAGCGGCTAGCTACGGCATATTCTTTTATATCGAATTCCAACTGTCAAGGGTTATTTTACGTGCACATGTGTACACGGGACCTCGGTTTTTCGTAGCACCCGAACGGTAGCACGATTTACCCAAATCTACTATTATTTCAACTCATATAATAATAATTTATATCTATATTTGATGATATATTGTTCTTTATGCCAAATTTAATCGTAACTTTTTTGTTTCAAAAATGCACCTCAAAACGCAATTTTCAAGCAAGTGATTTCGTGCAATACACTAGTTATGTCCCTTGGTTACACCTTCCAAACTTGCTTGAAAATCGCATTTTGAGTGCCATTTTTTGGGCACATTAAAAACGTTACGATTGTAAATTAAAAATGACAATTTGGCATAAAGAACGGTTTATTATCAAATATCGATATAAATTATTGCCTTTTAAGTTGAAATAATGGTGGATTTAGGTGGATTTGGAAAAATCGTGCTACGCACCCGAACGACTAGATAGTTGTCCCCGTCAGACACTCCGTCCTGCAAAACTGACAAGGTGAAACCGCGCGTCTGAAAATTCCGAGGAGCGAACACGAGACCTCCAGGCTACCGAGCCAGCGTCTTACTCACTAAGTCACTCTGATAAGTAAATGCTGCCATTGCATGCAGGAGTAATAGGTTCTGGTGGATTTAGAATTAATGAGAAAGATACATTTATACATTATTTTGAAAAATCGGAAAATAAAATATCTTCGCAAGTGATTGTATTTCCCACACTGAAGCAGGAAATGAGATTCGTCATCAACCGCACGACTGAGCATTGCTTACAAAGTCTCAGTTCAGGGGTCACATGGCCTACAATATCGACACCTCTGAGTCCCAGGGCTGTCAGAAATTTTGTGATCCCTGTTGTAAATTGAAAATATTCAGTTGGCTTACTTATTTTTTTTTTAATTATTAAGTTCTAAGTATGTCATGTTTTGTGGGATCACAAGTGTCACAGAAGAGATTGTTAAATTTTGATTCAAGGCCAATTTTTCTATTGGAGTTTGAAAGATAAGAGGGTGAGATTTCGTAATATTTAAATCGAAGAATGTCAAGATCGTCGCAGACGCGTTCTGAGCTCTATCTAGCTAGTAAAATTACTCAGCAATGAAGTGAATTTTATTTTTAATTCTTTTCTAAACCCCTTACCGCGAAAACACAGTCAGTGGTGGTTTCCTGTGATATTGAACTGGAAAAATATATGCATATTAAGTACAAATGCTCGTTGGAAGTTCACGGTGAAAAAGTCATACTTGGAGGGATGTTCTGGGCATAGTGCAAAAAATGTCTATTTCACAGAGAAACATCGTATCAGAGGTCGTTATAACCCTCAAGTTAGTGCTGAGACCAAAGAGGGGTGGAATATAATGCAAATTAAGCGCCGTATAGGCGCGAAGCAAAATCAGATAACGACGCTAATATTGTAGTGGCAAAGCTAGTTTCATTTTGTTAGTATTGTTTTATGTATAGTCTGTAGACGCCTAAATAGTCGAGACTAATAACAGTTCCTTTTATTCTGATTTTTTAAGTAGATCGAGGCATTTGTCATCTAAGCTTCAACTACAAGGATACTTGCGCACTAAACTTATTAAAACCTTTAAAAAGTTTTATGGCCGTCATATTGATTTGATTGGTAAATATAACGTGTCTCTCTCGGCTATTATTCTAGATATATTTAATTGACACGTATACTATTACTATCTCCCTGATAATATCTACTACATCGTTAACACAGTTCATCGCGTGCATTTTGCATACCGATAGTTCATTGGCCAATCACGCTATTTTACCGACATTTCGCCTAATAGTTTGGATGCAGCTATGGCGGGTGTGTCGCCAGGCAGTGTAAGCTTACTCTTCCGGACACCTGTTACCATTGTTTGTCGTGTAATTTGTACACGAGGAGCAGTCCATTTGCTGATTACACTATTTTGCTTGAATACACTATTTTGCCTATAACGTTTTTTAGGACTTCGAATTCTGTCTTATGGTTTGGATTGTTCGTACTTGGTTTTATTTTATAGGTCACTGTAGTTTTATATAGTGAGGGAAAGAATATTTGATAACACTGTGAATAGTATGTTGACAGACTCTTTCTAAGTTTTATAATAATATTGCTATCTGCCATATATTATGTTTAATTTAATAATTTAATAGAAACCCATGTCTTGTTATTTAGCATACTATTAGTGAGTTTATATCCCTATTATATAATCTATTTTGTTGGAAATGTACCATAATACATTGTCTTATATTATTGAGTATTATTATCTCCCCTTTACTTAAATAGCTAAATTTGAATATATAGCATGCAATTATAATTTATGTGCATATCCTAGAAGTTATTAAACGTAACTAAATAATACTTTTGTATATCAACTTAATCATAAATTACATTATGTCCATCTGTTAAATAATGTTGCATTTATATTGTTGACAATGTATACTTTGTTTACATAAGGAGTGTATAGTTTATAATTTTGCATGAGCTGAGAATGAATTCTCAGAAACGATGCCATTCTGTCGAGACGGCCAGGCGAACGTGATACCCCGCACTAGTACCCTGGGTCAGTTGTTCCCTCTGGGATATCCGTCTCCAGGGTCGAAGCGAAGCTATAGTAATTACACCTATAGTTCTTGAAAAATGCTCATTGAGCACACAGCCTTTAGATGTTTGCGTCTAATGAACAGACCTTAAACTGCTTGCAGTTTTAAAACAGATACAGCCTTTAAAGGAGCTAAATCGCTAACATTTGGGACCTAGAAATTAACACAAGTGGGTCGCAACTCATATAATACTGTTATATGAATGTATATAAACTGATTTACATTCAATCGTTTCCGTTTTTACTCTAATTTCAAATCAGTCATGTTCCGTGAAATAAGCCAGCAGTCTCAATCGAATGCAAATTTCTAGCGTCTGGTTATTCCAGACTACATACGCTGTTTGGTTTGGTGCAATATGTCTAGCCTCGTTCCTCGAGTCTCTTGCTAGAACTCGGGCTGAAACGCATTATGGTACACGATTCGTGTACCAATGGTAAAATGTATATTTTGTCTTAAATATTGGATATCAGAAGCCCATCTTTTCCCGGTAAGATCACAGCATCAATGTTGTTTTAAATTGACAAATATTTCGTGTTTTCAATGTTGAAGATTTTGGATGATATTGAGTTAGAGACTTAGCTACTTTAAACGCTTGCGTTTAATGAAAAGATACACACAGAACAGATCACAGAACGGCTTGAACTGGGACAGTTCGCCTCTTTATAAATAGTATAAAAGAGTTTTCCCAGTCCATTAAAACATACATGTATATATGTTATAATACATAATAAAACTTTATAGTTTTATACAGTTTTGTTCCGTTTGTTCGAAGAGAGAGAGAGAGCCGAACATAGCACAACTACTTTTTAGCTAGTCCGCCTTCTCCTCTGAAGAGACTCTACTTTAAACGGCTTGTGATCGGCCAATAGATCACTGGTGGCAGAGAAATTACCGGGGTGTGGGTCCTGAGCAACCATTGCGGCAGATTCCCCACACTACAAAACCGCTACATCATTTCGTGGCGAAAGCGAAAAGAAGAAATAAAAAGCGCGCCACAATATGTAATATACTGAGCTATCATTTGAGACTGGGCCTGAGGGAGAGGGAGCTGTCGCCGCCCCCCCCCCCTCCGCTACGCCACTGAGCGTACTGACTTGATCGTTCTGATGGAAGTCGCCAACGAATTCGTGAGCAATGAATAGGCCTACAGGCTGTGGATCGTTTTAAGCAGAATTAGGAGCAGCAAACACAAATTTACAGTTTAAACATACATTATGCAAGAGCTAAATCTGCCTATTGCAGGTATTTCTTTAGGCCTGAAATGTTGTCTAAATTATAAATTTAACATTTATTAACTTATCCAGACCATAATCATATCTCAATGTTTACTGGATTAGGATCCGATTTGCTGCCCAACTTTCATTCATGATTAAACCATGAAATGGATAATCGATACTATGTTTTTTAACGTACCGACTTTAGTAATGATGATTGAGGCTAGGTTGATAAATTAACTTGATAAATTCTCGGTCCCAAGTGGATCTATTTGACTGAAATTTTCAGCAAATACCCTTTACATTAGCCTATCCAGTTTTTACCTGTTATAGTGAGAACTACCAGCCTTCATCTCCCATATCTTTAATATTCCATCAACTATCACATTTTTTTTTCAACCGGCCATAACTGATGGTGGTGAATTATTTTATGGATAAGGGACGCAAGGAAAGAATGCGACAAAAAAACTTCAGGTATTTTTCTAATTACCTAATCTATCGTAGATACAACGGAAGTGGGGCGGACTTGCAATAAAGATCGGCTGTTCATTTAACTAATCTTCGGAATTTAGCGGCTATTTTTGAAAAATCTTCTCAATTACTTATACGTTAGAATCAGGTAAATTCCAGTTAATGCATTGTATCTAAACTATAAATGAAATGAAATGGGGTTTAACGTCCTACTGTTTTGCTCCGAACTGGGCTAATGAAGACGGGCATACGCCATACAGTGTGCTATATATGAGGGAAATTTTGCCCGGACAGCGGCAACTGTCAAGGGATCTTTTACGTGCACGCCAATGTGTACACGGGACCTTGGTTTTTCGTCCCAGCCGAACGACTAGACAGCTTTCCTTGTCAGCCCCTCCGTCCTGCATCACTGACAAGGGAGAACCACGCCGGAAAATCTGGACGAACTTTCTCGGCCAATGCAGGGATCGAACACCCGACCCCCAGGCTACAGCGAGCCAGCGCTTTACTCACCTAGCCACCGTGGCTCCCGTATCTAAACTAAAAGTTACTTGCATGAAATAAATCGGAGATGGGATACTTGCGGCAGCTTCTGTAGTTACATCACCTAAACCAACAAAAAGCGGAAATCTACATGTTAGGGTGTGGTGGGGTGGGGGAGTTGGCCACCCATGCACCGGGATCAGATCAGTAATGCCTGTGGGAACTTTCACTATTAAAAATGAAATAAATAAAACTATGGGAAAAAAAAAGTTAGGTCTTTTCAACTTCGACTCATTCATGAAATTACCCCTTTTTTAAAGAAAAAAACAATTTGTATCAAATTTTACCTCCAGTTTAATTATTTTATGACTCTGGTTATCAAGATACCGGGGGGTTGGATGGCTGAATGGTTAGCGTGCGCACGCTGTATCATAAAGTCTGTCATTGAGTCGACTGGCGTGGTTTCGAATCCCCGGTTGTACGTGACAAGGAGCAGGGTCGCCTGTCCAACCTCGTGGGTTTTCTCCGGGTCCTCCGGTTTCCTCCCACTGCTAAAGACCCCTATGCGCAAGCGAATTATTGAAATAAAATTAAACCATATGTTAGTCCCGAAATGACCTAGTTTGTGTCGAGAGGACGTTAAACCCCATTTCTCTTTCTCTCTCTCTCTCTCTCTATCAAGATACCACACCCCTGATAATATTAATATTTATGACGGGACGCGGATGTATATCTTTATCCTTATATGGAAGAGCGGGAAATGAAGTTATAAATATTTTCATTACAATTTTAAATATTATGCGTAATAAACAATGTAGTGGTGTTCTAATTTTAGTGGAATTCCGGCTGGACCCATTTTTGTATCACTGTGTCTTATGATTGATACTATAATTGCATGTAGCTACATGATTATTTTGGCGAATGGATATAACATTAATATCCTACGGTAATTTGGTCGTTGCGCGAGCACGTGGTTTCGCCGGCTTCTCGGCTAGTCTCATTCTCTTTCTTTCGAGGACACCGTTACGATTGCACCATTCCGGATCTTCACAAGGCTTCTTTCAACAATGGCAAGACCCAGGGTTTACTTCGACATGATGGCCGATAAAAAAAGCCTCGGCAGAATTGTTATGGAGGTAATGCTTTTCGTAAATGATGTCTTGTTACACCGTAAATAGAAATCAACTCGTAGTGTTAATAATAATAAGTTATAAATTATTATTGCCTTCAAACATGTCGCCATAGATATGAGTCAACACCAAAGCATTGATGGATGGATAGTCAACAGACATTGGGCCAGCGTTGCCAGAGGCTCGAACGACAAATACTCTGTCGCTTTTCATTTAAGCTAACTCGACACCTTTACACATGATGCAAAACCCCAATCACAAGCTTTTAAAAATCTAGCCTATCCAAAGCCATAGATTGGGCCCCAAGCATTTTCGCACATGACCTACTTTTTGAAAAAGCCAAACTAGACAGCGGCAGTACGCTTTACCCAATACTAACTCAAAACTACCCAATACTAGCACATGCTACCGGATTATTTTGTTAAAAATTGACAGAATACATACTTTGTGTCAATAAAAATGTGATTATTCCCGGAATTAGCCAAAGATGTATGGAAAACTGGAATGTCTATTAAATGAATAATAATTGATGGAAACAGTAGGCAGCTAGAACTTAGTAGAAGGTAGCTAAAAAGGTTAATATACTGTGATGTGTTTGTAGCTAGGCTTGGATTCTTTTAGTTTCAGCTGGCTAACTTAATTTCATTAGTAATTAATGCAATTAACAACTTAAAAATAACTTAATGCAATTAACATCTTAATCTTAAAAATAAGTTAATTTTATACTTAGGAATATTTTAACATTCCCATTGCGATGAAATAACTTCCGTTTATCTGCAAATATTGTCAGTCAAGTTAATTGAGCGGTGTTTTACTGTTTTTATCAAAATTGATTACAGTCCATTATTCATGTGCAACCTTGTACTTGCGGTTTTGTCCCGTATCTTGATTGGTAGTTGTATACACAATACATTTAGCCCAGCCTTCAGGCCGTAAATCTATTTGGTTTTAAAATGTTGGGCAAAGTCAGCTATTGTCACTTCAATTTAAGAGATGGTTTATACCTGTATCGGGTCGGGATTATGCTATTGGAGTTGGATGTGTAATAACAATAATCAATCACTGTTTTGAAGAAGTTTTGCTAATTGATGTACTATCTGATTAGCATCGTACTTTGCCAGGTGAAACTAAATAGTAAAATAGTACCATAGCTCTTATCTCGAAACACGCAGGGTCGAGAGATGAGGTTTCTTATCTGGTTTCTGTCCCAGGACCTTTCGGACTCCCACAAACTACCATTTCTGTGCGGGGGTTGGGGTGGGGTGGGGGGTGGTTGAATGGTTAGCGTGTGCGGGCTGTCATAAGGTCTGTCATTGAGTCAACTTGGTTTCGATCCTCTGGTTGTGACAAGGAGTACCTAGGGTTGTCTGTCCAACCTCGTTTTTCTTCAGGTCCTCCGGTTTCCTCCCACTGCTAAAGACCCCTATGTGCAAGCGAATTAATGAAATAAAAAAAATTTGAACCATATGTTAGTCCAGGAATGACCTAGTTTGTGTTGAGTGGATGTTAAACCCCATTTCTCTCACCATTTCTGTTACCACTAGCTTCTAAAATTCATTAGCCACTGTGAATCATGCGTAGAAAAAAAAGTACTAGCCACATTTTTCATTAGCCACTGACCTCCTGAAAAGTTGTTTGTAATTGTATACTAATCTTGGTATTTAGTGCATATTAAGGATGTAACATTTGAAGCTAGCAGCAAGTGCTAATAAAGTACACAAAACATCGAGCAGAAATTTGAAGGCGTTATCTTGTGGACGCTCTGGAGGCTCGAGTTGAAATTCGATTGACTTTGAATTTATACAGTGTTTATAGTCATGAGATGAAGAAAGAAGTCTCTTGATTTTCAACGTTTTGAAATAATTACTGATTTGTCACTTGATCACTTTGAAATATCTTGTGGATGCACTTGAGACTTATGTAAATATCCGATTGACTTTAAATTTATACATGGGCCAAGGAAATCTCTTGATTTTTCTTTTCAATGATTTCAGATAATTAATGGCAGAGTTATGGCCCTTGATATCTTTGAAAAATCTTGTGGATGAAGTAGAGGCTCCGGTTATTGTCCGATTGACTAAATTTATAGTGTTTCAGGTTATGAGAACTCGACTCACCCAGTTAACAAGTGCAGTTTTACAAATTTTTCTATTTTAACGTATGGATATTTTAATGTAATGGTTTTATTTGTTTTTTCAGTTGAGGGCTGATGTTGTACCGAAGACTGCAGGTAATAAAATGATAATGTCCCCAGGTTTAGTGTTATGCCATTGGTGTTCCATAACTACATGCCTTAAATGTGATGTTTATATGCTCACATTTTCATGTGGACGTATCATGTAGTCGTTGTGTCCGTCTGTTCACATTTTGTTAGACCTCTAGTTTTGACCCGATTTTGATGAAACTTGAAATATGGTTATATCCCAAAGATCTTGGTTCTTTTTGATATTCCTGCCTAGCTTCCTGGATTATGGCCCCCAGGGCTGCCGAAAACCAGTATCGCAGCGCAATTTGCGATACATATTTTGTCCGTTGCTAATCAAAAATTAAAATCTAACGTTTTTGATTCGCAGTAACTTTGAATCATTAACATGCCTCTCATTTTGGATATTGACACAAAGATTTATCCACATTTCTCTACGCTTTCAACTATATAAAATATCAAATAAATTTTATAAACAAAACGGAATTCTCCGTGTGACATTTTCTTCTCGAACTACCCAGACTCAATTCATTATACTTTTTAACAATGCTACTTTATAATACAGGGACATAACTCTATGAATCGGGACTATTAAACCAGAAATAGGGAATCAAGTAGTACCACTCACGTTGCGAGACATGTCAATTTCGAGTAATTATATCAGTATTCAATTTGAAAAAAATTAAATTCAGTGTTTCCCCCACGTATTGTAAATAAAATATAAAAAATAAATATGTGTAAACGTATTGTAAAATGAGAAATCAAAGTAAGAATTCCCGTAAACTATTATTGTTTATATCGCATGCGTCTAGTTAATCAAGATTATTCGTAAAATACCGCATGCTTACGATTGAACAAAAATAATAACACGATAAAAAGCAGACGAAATTGTTTTCTAACGAAGAAATAAGAAGTCACTGCCCAGATGATAAGGCCTAACAGCTACCTGTAGAAGTGCTAAAATTCTAAAAAAAAATCTTAAGAATGAAATCTAATCATTTGTTATCAATTAAAATTAAAATAATCTTGTTATTTAGGTGTTTTATGTTGAAACTGAAAAACTGCTAATCACTTTTTAAATTTGCTAATCAAATTTGGCAAAATTGGACTTTTTTGATTAGCAGTGCTGCTAATCATCTGTGAAAAATTACCGACAGCCCTGATGGCCCCTGATTGTACGAAAAGTCTTTTTTTTAGCTTCTCTTGTTCGTCACTTGCAAAATGTTGGCGCACCTTGCATTGCAACTGCTTGTATCTTGTAAGTGCTTTAAAGATGGGTTCCTGCGTACAAACTGGGTGATTTAATGGTATATTTGGACCAAAAACATATTCAAACTAATTAATTTGTCATAATTATGCTTCAAATCCTTAAACATTGTAATTGCGAAGGAATGCCCCGCTATTAAAATTCGATCAAACCAGGTCATGTTTACGTCACGTCTTGGGGAGTCAGAGAATTCATTGCATACATAAGACGATGTTGTCTTTAATCGCTTACTATTTATTACAAATATCGAATCCTAATTAAATTCTCGGATTATCCACTACCCGCGTCTTTTTCCGTCATTTTTATCTCAAAAAGTATTGTACGTCTAACTCTTCATAAAGTTTATCAACTTGTACATCAAGCGCTCAATGTTCGCTTGTGACCTTTGACATCACGCTGCAGAAGTTCATAATCGTCGGGCTGTTGATTAGGGGAACCCTTACATTTTTGTCCTGTATACGCTCCATGAGTGTTTTTCGGGGAATCCAGTATTTTTCTAGTAAGATTGGATATCTCTACTTCCATAATAACCAAAATTGCCATACTTTTATTGGAAATAACCACCCGATAAATACTTTTCTGGGAACCTATCTTTAATTACTGACAAAAAGAAAGATAAAGGTGACAAGCCCTATAGATTGTTCTGACAACTTTTGGTTGTAAAGTTCATTGCCTGGCAACCTATTTCATTTTTATTTTTTGGGGGGGGGGGGATTTGAAATGGAATGAACTATTCAATTGTATTGGTGTTCTTCAAACCAGAATGTTTTACCAACCATTTTTGTTTTCAGAGAACTTCAGATCTCTTTGCACAGGTGAAAAGGGGGTAGGAAAGTCAGGAAAACCTTTATCATTCAAAGGCTGTTCATTCCACCGAGTTATTCCAGGCTTTATGTGTCAGGGAGGTGATTTCACCCGGGGTGATGGAACTGGTGGAGAAAGTATCTATGGAGAAAAATTTAAGGATGAAAACTTTACACTGAAACACACCGGACCCGGTATGGTGAAGTATTTATGTAATAAATGTTATCTCTATGTGCTTAGATGGTTTATAACTCTTAAGGTTCTCTCTAAATTGTTTTATTTAATGGTTCATATGGTTTAAAATATTCTGATTTAGTTTTCTATCTACTGGTTTGTATGGAAAATCACAAGATGATCAGGTAATCATTCAAAATGTGAAGTTGTATATACCCCTTGATGACTGAATAATCATTCAAGAATAAATTTATAGGCTACACATGGCCACAGATTTTAACTTTTTTTATACGCCCACATGCATATGTTGCCAACATGCATATGTTGTTTATTGCTGTCCTCTCTGTACTTACGTTGGTCCACCGTCCACAATTTCTAGTGAACACTCTACACACATTTATTATCTGATCTAAATGGAATTTAAATCTGCTTACATTAGAGAGGTGGAGAATCCTATTTAATTTCGACAATTTCTGTTAAATCTAGTGTTATGGTCCTTGTTTTCACTTTATAGAAATTTGTGAATGCGCTAACAGATTAAATTATGTATTAAATTATATGCATTATTTACATTAGAAAACGAGGAGGGGTACGGCAACACTCCCTTGAATAAGTAGAAAAGCTGGACAGGCTGGTACATCTGCGTAGGATCTGGATCAAAAAATGATGCCGGCGGGGCGGAGTAGTAGAATAGATAAAATTAAAGAATCCCCGCCAAACATTAGTAAAACGTAGAAGCCTGTTTACCAGTTTTTCTTAATAACTTCTAGAGTTATGGTCCTTCACTTTGAACTTTGAACTCTCTAATGACTAAAGCTATCATCAGATCTGTATAAAATCTATGTTATTTAAATTTGTAAAATGAAAAAGCCTACTGAATTTTGGCAATTTATATTAATTATTTACATTATTTACATTAGTAAAACATAGAAGCCTGTTTACCAGTTTCTAAAGTTATGGTCCTTCACTTTGAACTTTGAACTCTCTAATGACTAAAGCTATCATCAGATCTGTATAAAATCTGTTATTTAAATTAGTAAAATGAAAAAGCCTACTGAATTTTGGCAATTTATGTTAATTACTTCTCTAGAGTTGTGGTCCTTGTTGGACCTTGTAAAAGATTAAATATGCAACAATCCTGATGATTTAGCTGCTGTGGTGGGCGTATTTTTCGTTGCATGGCAGCCTCTTTTAAAATTTGATATAAAGCACAAGGTTAATGCTGGGACGAACCCTATCAATAATGGGCGGTCAACATCCTGTTCCGGAGTTACCCGCAATTCTGTTGATTTCCCAGTTCCCTGTCCATCTATTGCTAAATTTGGTCAGATCTTGCAAATGGCAAATGTTTGTAATTCAAATTTGATGGGAATCATTGGGGGTCATGAGTACGAACCCTATGCACTGTTTCCGTGACCATCCATTCCAAAGTTGTCCTTTGGAAAACAGTGTGATTGTGATGAAGGCTGGTTTATATCCGATTTTTTTTAAAATTCAATGTGGTGCATTAGGACAATGAGTAGATGATCCATATTGATTTTCCGTACATCTATTGCATGGCAGTTGCTTGTCAAATTTGTGAGGCATCTTGATCAGAGAGGATGAACCCTGTTGATTTTTAGCATTATAGAACTTCTCTTTTCTTTCACAGGTATTTTGTCGATGGCAAATGCTGGTCCCAACACAAATGGATCCCAGTTTTTCTTATGCACTGCAGCAACAAATTGGTGAGTTCAAAATAAGAGACCTAATATTAGATTGATTTTAGGGCTTAGCCAATCAAAATTGAAGTATCTACTAGAATTTGATTTTATCTTTAGTTAAAATTTTGAGAAACGGGGCACAGGACTTTAAACCCCATATAAAGATATAAAGTCTTGTACAGTTAACTTCTCTCAAACAAATCACTTATTAATGTGTGCTGCAGAATGTTAGTGGTCAAAAGGGAAAAATTTGTATTCTGTATTACAATGATTTTTTTGTTTTGCAGGCTCGATGGTAAACATGTTGTATTTGGCTCTGTTGTAGAGGGCTTGGATGTTGTAAAAGCTATTGAAGGCTACGGATCCCAAAGCGGAAAAACTAAAGAGAAAATTGTTATTGCTGATTGCGGAATGGCGTAATTTTTGTTATGTGCTATTTTTAAATATTTTCCAGAAAAATTTAGTTTTAAAATCATGAAGTAAAATTAATTTCATTTTGAAACTAAAACTGAATAAAATCACTTTTTTTTTTTTTTATGAAAAAGAATTTAAGATATCAACTTGGAACTAATTTCTTGAGGCTTGCCAAAAAATGATCGATATGGTCTGTCTTGTATTTTCCTTATTAAAGTTATGTTTCCGATAAATATATGGTTACCAATACTCTTACATTGGACAGTGTGATTTTCTAGTTCATGAGTGACTATTAAAGGGAACTTATGCCATGCCGTTAATTATTCATAAATAGCAAGTTGTGACTTTATGATCCTTTGGTCCAGGACAAGCCCTGATATTGCCCTGAAGGTGACAACTGTCCCTTCCACTAAACAAAACGTTAACAAACATAGCACGGGTCTGATATTCTTGAGTAATTTCACAAAGAACCTTTTGTAGGGAACTGTTTTCCTCTGCTGCAGAAGTATCCATACCAACTTCCTAATGTCCTAGTATTAAAAATTGTAGCTGTCACATCTGGCATTAGATGAAAGTCAACCGATTGTTACCTTTTTTGGGACGATCTTGAAATCTATCCTTTACCCTAATCTTGTCTACAGGTCTGTTCAATATGGAGGACATTTACATATTTTGTTAGAGCCGCAGTGGCTCACTAAGACACTGGCTTGCTAACCAAGCCCAAGTTCACAAAGCATTCTTAGACTTACGAATTTACTCAAAATTGTTTGCCTTATTTTAACTAAAATATAGCCCTTTATAAAACTTTATTTATTAAGTCGGATCTTCGCTCAACTTGGATCAGAATGTTTGGTCCATTTGATCTAATTCCGGCTTTTTTCCTTCGCCCAAGTCAGATCGTCAGTATGTTCAGAATTTGACTGTCAATTACGTCTCGATGGTCTAAAACATGCACAGAGCCCCCATATACTTCCCCTCTGATTTTGACTCAAATTGGCCTATTTGATGCGAGGCAATAATATAATTTTCACGGAAAATTCGAAATTCGCCGTCTGCTGTACGAGACACTTTCCGGGAAAATTTAGGACATTTTTCAAAGATGGCGACGAAACGGAAGCCATCTACTCGCACCAAAACGCAAATTATCTACTGGCACATACGAACAAAAGCTTGAAATATGCGTTTGAATCAATTATTATCTGGCTCTTGTAGTTCATTTCTAATCAGAGCTAAGATGGAATTTCGGTCTTGGGCTAACTCGAAATCTTCGCTTAACAGTTAAGTTTGGTCAATTCACTTAGATCCAACTTATGCAAAGTTTACTGTATGTGCATAGTTTTGTGTTTCTGGATCAAAAATATCTCGTAAACAGTGAGATTGAGTAAATTTTCAACTTTCTAAGTCTGAGAATGCTTTGTGAACTTCATATTCCTGAAGCAATGGCCCGAGAAATCCCGCTCTGGCCATTCCTGGATTGGCTTCTGATATTTGAACTTTTGAAGGAGTGTGTCTATTCTTCCCTTTGATCAAATCTATCCCAAGTACAGCAACATGACAGCCCTTCGTTTAATCTGGGTCTTCCCTAAAACTTTGGACAGTGATTTAAAGTATTAAAAACGGTGAGAAGTATGTTCATCTCCAAACAGTATTGTTTACATTGTTTTCGATTTGATAGCCTCGTTTGTCACGCAATAAGTTTTTCTGCAATATACTGCTATGCACTGGTTAATTGGGCATAATAAAATTGTGAGTCATGATGTACCGGTAACGTTGTGTAAACATATTTGGTCCAATTTGGAGCTCTGATTTGAGCATAATTCTTTTGTAACGCAGTAAGCTATTGGTTTTTAATCGGACCAGTCATAATTTGGAACAGAAATTTGCTTTCGTTAAAGCAGTGTTTGGTGGGATTAGGTATAATCAAAGAAACACTGCAAGGAGTATGTGTGAGCTAGTGCGCCAGGTCTTGTTTGCTATCAGTGTCATCCCAAAAAGTTAACCTGGATTTTCTGGTGTTTCCACTACTCCGTGGTCAAAATTTCCTCTTGGCACACTGTTTATACAGAAAAGTGGGACTTATTTCACATATCTTCTCCCCCTTGAGATACATACTGATTTTTATATGGTGGTTAAGGACATGATAGAAGCATTTTAATATTATCAACTATTTCCGATAATCACTGCTAGAGTTATGGCCCTTGATCACTTTGAAAAATCTTGTGGATGTTCCAGAGGCTAAAGTTAATATTTGATTGACTTTCAATTTATACAATGTTTCTAGGGGGTTAGATCTATTAACCAAGGCCATCTGCATAATTCCTCAAGGTCACGAGACGGGTTACTTAATGGGTTGTTACTTTTAATCAGATTTTAGTGTGTTGTAAATGTTAATATGCGACACCCATGCTGAATGCTCCGAAGGCTTGGCTGCTGATAACATACGTTTTGTTGTCTGGCAACCTTTTTGATATTGCCTCCCCAGACGAATTAACATCCCGTCAAACCTTATTTGGTTAACATGTGGGCTCAGACTAGTAATTATTTGCCCATTGACTTCAATGTTAAATGGCTGGAACATCACAGGCTATAGCTTTTTGCTCAACATTCTGTTGGTTCCAATCTTTATAGGCACAATGGGGACCACATTTGGCAATATCCTCATCATTATTTTGTAGGGGGTTGACCGTTCAGATTTTTTGCTACGGGGATTTGATGTTGACTGGGGTGAAAATCTGACTTCGAACACAATGATTGCTCTGCAGAAAGACAATTTACACCCCCTATACCTTCGCTGTAATATACCCTGCCAAATTAAAAACTTAACACTGATGAATTTCAACAAATTTTTTTTTCTGTTAAGTCAAATAAATTTTAAAGTGTTTCTAACGATAATAAGTAGTAAGAAGCCTTTATACTTGACTTTTGAGCATATAAAGATGAAAAACACGTGCAAACACAAACTCGTGAGGTCAACCTAGCTGAAAAGTGTAACAATTTTCTCCTATATGGTATCAATGTATGTATATCTGGTATCATCAGAATGTAAGTCTGCCGGGTTACTGGTGGTGGGTGTGGTATTCCACGCCCAAAATGCCATGCCCCGCAACTAGTCTAGATTAGCTCAAAAGTGTACCACATGAAAATCGCACAGCAATGTACCGTACATCTTCAGGTATTACAAACACTCTTGACAGACATTTCTAGTGGTGGGGCACCCCTGACAGAGCTATGGTATAACAAGCCAACAGTGAGGCTGATGTCCCCCGCCGAAATAGGAAAATAATTAGAGGACACATATAAATTTATCACAAATTATCTTTTACAAAGTATTGAACAATCAAACAGTATATCTTTACTTATAGTCTAACAATCAAAGTAGGAGAGTTATTGTTTTCCAAAGTCTCGACCAATCAAATTGCGTATCGCTCTGCTTACCCTGAGCAGAAAATGCTCATTATCAAACTTAGTCAAGGTATTACTGTAATGAAACTATACACCAAGTTTCATCAATCTCACTTAATTAGAACTAAAGTTATCGTGTCCCAAAGCATCAACCAATCAAATTGCTTATCTCTGCTTACCCTAAGTGGAAAATGCTCATCTTCGAACTCCATCAAGGCATTGATCTAATCAACACATACACCAAGTTTGAACATTCTAGCTCAATTAGGAAGAGAGTTATCGTGCCCCAAAGTATCAACCAATCAAATTGCTGCTTACCCTGAGCAGAAAATGCTCATTATCAAACTTAGTCAAGGTATTACTGTAATGAAACTATACACCAAGTTTCATCAATCTCACTTAATTAGAACTAAAGTTATCGTGTCCCAAAGCATCAACCAATCAAATTGCTTATCTCTGCTTACCCTAAGCGGAAAATGCTCATCTTCGAACTCCATCAAGGCATTGACCTAATCAACACATACACCAAGTTTGAACATTCTAGCTCAATTAGGAAGAGAGTTATCGTGCCCCAAAGTATCAACCAATCAAATTGCTTATCTCTGCTTAGCCTAAGCGGAAAATGCTCATCTTCGAACTCCATCAAGGCATTGACCTAATAAACACATACACCAAGTTTGAACATTCTAGCTCAATTAAAAGTTATCGTGTCCCAAAGCATCAACCAATCAAATTACTTATCTCTGCTTACCCTAAGCGGAAAATGCTCATCTTCGAACTCCATCAAGGCATTGACCTAATCAACACATACACCAAGTTTGAACATTCTAGCCCAATTAGGAAGAGAGTTATCGTGTCCCAAAGCATCAACCAATCAAATTGCTTATCTCTGCTTACCCTAAGCGGAAAATGCTCATCTTCGAACTCCATCAAGGCATTGACCTAATAAACACATACACCAAGTTTGAACATTCTAGCTCAATTAGGAAGAGAGTTATTGTGTCCCAAAAAGTGTGACGGACAGACAGACGGACAGACAGACAGACGAACAGACAGACGGACGAACCCATTTTAATAGTCCCCTGCTTTCTTCGAAAGGCGGGGGACAAAATATTAGATAACTCTTGTCAGGGATACTCCACCACTACAAATGTCTGGCAATTACATAGCTCTGTCAGGGGTACCCCACCACTAGACATGTCTGTCAGAGTGTTTTTGTAATACCTGAAGATGTAGGCCTAAGGTACACTGCTGTACGATTTTCATTTGGTAATGGTACTAATGGTAGCCTACATTTTTGAGCTAATCTAGCCTAGTTAGGGGTTCATGGCATTTAGGGCGTGGAATATCACACCCACCACCAGAAACCCGACAGACTTACATTCTGATGATACCAGATATACATACATTGTCATTGATACCGTATAGAACAAAATTGGTACACTTTTCTGCTAGGTTGACGCTCCTGGTCTATACATTAGTCCATCCGCAGTGAATATTCGCTAGGCCGCGACAATCACTGACAAGGATGACATCGAGGCGACTTAATGAGCCATAAATATTAACTTTTTTTCCTCCGACAAATTGTAATACATTTTTTTTTTATGTATTAAAAAAATAAAGACGTTTGAAGTATTTGTAGGTAAAAATTATTTCCTATTTTAGTGTAGTCTCTATCATCCAGAACAATATTCTACGAATATTAGTCTGGACAGGTTGTCAACATTTCAGAAAAATTAGCTAGATAATCCTGTCTTTCACATTATCATAAACAATGTGTAAGGGAGGTAACTCCTTAAAATAAGATGTTTACGCCCATGAAATTAATTTAAGAATGTCATTTCAAAAAATCC